CCACCCCCCCACCAGCAGCACTCTCCACAAAGAGCCACTGCTGCCCTATCCCCCATGTCTGCTGAGCAGCAGCCAGGAACACCTGAAGCAGCCCCCCAAACAAATAAAAAAAGACCCAAACAAACCCTCAATCACATAAATCCTCAACACACTTGGGCAAGGGCTGCTGCCCGGTGCAGGCTGGCACCACACCTCCACAGGCTTCCGCGCCCTCCAAGCACTACCATGACCAAGCGGCCGCAGGACTTACGCTTTGGCTCAGGCTCTCACAGGTGTATTGCCAAGAGCCACCAAGCCGGCCAGGCAAGGAAGAAGAAGGATCAGGCGCTCCACAGTGAGGTAACACCGGAATATCTGCAAAAAGCCCATGGGATCGTTTCCCCCAACCTCAGCCAGACACCGAGAGCCCACCAGCTCACCGCGATGCCCGTAGGCTGCATCCCTACTTGACTTTGCTCCTCCAATTAGCCTTATAACAGATGTGGGCGTAATTGGGGCTTTCAGCAAGCCCCCCAGCTCTGCCACCACCACACCGCTGCGCAGAGCAGAGCAGGAGTGGGCAGATGCATCCCAAAATTCTTCTCAGGCCACCAGCCAGCCCAAGCACAAGCCAGAATGACCCTAGGCGTTTCACTAATGATGGGCAACAAGGAGGCCACGCTGGTTACTGACTAATTACAGTCCCGTTGACTCAGTCCAGACAAGATGCTGCCCTAAAACAAGCCAAATATAATTTGTGGCTCAACCCCTTTGCCTCCTCCTCCCAACCACCACTGCGGCATCAGGAGCGATACCACCCTCCCACCTTTCAACCCTTTAAGCCGCTGTTAATTAAGCCCAAGTCTGGGCTGGTCACCAGGAGCAGATCCTCAGCCCCACAGAGCTCCTGGCCGGGCTCCCCCCGACCCCTCCAGCCCTCTCTCATCCCTCGGTGCCTGCAGGAAAGCCTCCACCCAGCCTCGATCTCCAGGCTCTGGCTGGTACCCAGAGGCCGAGGAGGATGGCGAAGGCTGGACCCAGCGCTCCCCCTGCATCCCCTGCCCGGCTCACAGGCACGACGTCTGCCTCAACGCCGGGTGCAAGGGGCCGAGGAGGAGGAAGGCAGCGTTCCTCCTGCCCCCTGGAAGCAGGGATGCAAGCCTTACCTGGACACCTCGGCGAGGGCAGCGGGCTGCCCCCTGCGCCCGGGGGGATTCGCTTTCAGCTCTACTCTATATTCGCTGCTGCAAAGCGGAGCACAGGATGAACCCGCTGGGAG